CCCCCCCCCCCACACACACACACACACACACACTGTGTTGACTGACGAACACACAGTGATGTGAAGCAGGATTCAAACTTAAAGCTAAACTTGTTTAACCTGGATTTTTATAAGCTGAAGCTTCTTTGTTTACAGAACAACCTTTTTAGACTGATAGCCTAGATTACTTGATTTTGGTGTTTCTGATGCAAAGTAATTCATGTAAAATGTAAGTGGGGAAAACCACGATTTGTTCACTTTAAAAAAAACAGGACAAAAAACACTTCTTAGGAAATGTCTGGCTGCAACTGTGGAAAAAAACACCTTTTATCCTCACACTCATGCCTTCCATGACATCAGCTTTTTCCTCCTGTTCTCCCCTTTTTACCATTTTCCTTTCCTCCTGTGACGCTGTATTTACCCTCTCTCTGTCCACATTCTCCAACTGTCTCCCTTACAGATCATGAAGCCAAAGTACCGCTCTTTGTCTTATCCATTCCTGCTGCCCAAGTCTCACTCCAGTGCCAGTGAGCTCAGATATCAAGTTCCTGATTGCGTCAATGCCAAAGTGCAGGTGAGAGAACTGAACACAACAATTAACTATTTTTACTACACTCATAAAACAATACATGTTGAGGAAAATGTTGTTTTATAATTAATCAAAATGAGAAACTGGGGCAAAAGAGAGGAATTCAGCTAACATAAAAAGAACCACTGGTAGAAAATTATAGACAACACACAGGAACACACACAGTATAAACTTACCACACTATTTTCCACATCCCAGTCTGCACTGCTGGAAGAAGATGAAAGAGATTGAGTGTTAAAATGGGCCAAAAAGTTATGTAAGCATAAAGGCTGGCACTTGTGATCAACACTCAAGGGTTTTTAGACAAAAGGAACCGACCTTTGAATGAAATACTTAAATACTAAAATAAGAAGTGCATAAAGATCCCATCATTACTCCATCATGTTTTGTTTCAATACAAAATGTTCTTTTTTCTTTCATTTTTACATCTCTGTGAACACTATGTGCAACTTCTCCTTTTGTATCTACCACTAATAATACACACCGATTTTGAAAATATGTCTTAAAACGTATTTATTGCTATTAGTAGTGGTATTAAACGAAAGCACTGTATGTTACAGTTTATAATGAGGGAAAACATTAGTGTTTATACTGTTTGGTATTGCCTTATAATGATCACTGATGCCCTTAGTTATTATGTTTTTTTATACATACACTTTTTACATTTAACCTATTACTAATTGCTATAATAAACCTGCAACTGTGCCTGGCTAGAACTGTTGTCTTTCTAACAACATTTTTTCTATGTAGCTCTTATGCATGTAAATACTATATTGGAGAAGACTAGCCATGCACAACCATGTGAATATATGGTTACTGTCTTGAATTAGGTACATAATGCTGCCCTTTTTTAGTATTACTGCTTTAATAATCCTATGTCTGTATGTTCAAGGTGTTGCGGTCAGTGGCAGATTGGTCAGCAGGCATAAAGTACCACGAGGAGTCCATCCACAATGCCTACATCCAGGTCATCGTTAAGAGCGAACACTACATCTACATCGAGGTACGCCAGCAGTGAGGCCAGGATATGAAAATAAAAAGCAAATGCTGTGATATGAAATTGTTATGAGGGTTGAGTTGAATTCTTCAGAGCTTTGTATATAGTGTCTGTAATCAAATAGTTCCACTGAGATTCATTCTGTTTTGTTAATATGAACATTAAGTTGTACTTAGTTGTAACTGAACGCCGGAACAATTTTAATTGTCTCTGTTCGGGGTTGGTGTCCTTCCTTTCTCTCCTCTTCTATCAGAACCAGTTCTTCATCAGCTGTGCCGACGGCAGGATGGTGTACAACAAGATCGGAGACGCCATCATTGAAAGGATCATCAGAGCGCACAAGTACTTCCCTTTATTTAAAACACTTCTTTCTCTAAGTTGTACTTGTGATTATACAGTGGGGAGGAAGATGTGCTGTGTGTCTTCTCTCTTCTTCCACTTCTGCTTCTCACTGCTTGGCACTGCTAGTGTGCCTCTCTTTATATAACTGATATGTGTTTCCTCACAGGGAGGGTAAGAAGTACCGTGTGTATGTGGTCACCCCTCTGCTTCCTGGCTTCGAGGGGGACATCACCACAGGGGGAGGGAACGCCCTCCAGGCTGTCATGCACTTCAACTACAGGTGAACCACATGACACTTTTTGTCTGAGTTCAATATTGAAAGAGGAATAGTGAAGGGAAATGAGAAAGCAGATGTGGAAGTGTCATTAGAATTTGTCTGTATTCAAATTCTTTCAAGTCAAGGATGTAGGGACTAATATTCATGTGATTTTTGATGAGCTTTACTCTCCTGTCCCTCAGAACCATGATCAGAGGAGAACACTCCATCATCTCGCAGCTTAAAAGAGAGAGTAAGTAAAAGCATGAACTACAACATTAAATATTTTGATACCTAATATTAGAGAAGATTGGAGAAGTGCTAATATTCTCCTAATTTCATCCTGTAATCCTCTTTTTTGTGCTTTTCTGCTGCTCTCCTCTCCTCCCCTCCTCTCCCAGTGGATGACCAGTGGATGAACTACATCTCCTTCGCTGGATTGCGAACTCACGCTGAGCTGGAGGGACGCCTGGTCACAGAGCTCATCTACGTCCACAGCAAGATGCTCATCGCTGACGACAACACAGTCATCATCGGTTAGTCTCTCATCTGCTTCCATAGCCTTCTGTCTCTTTTATTTTTTCTTATGTTGTTTTCACCAACTACTATTCAAGGCAACTATCCTCTCTGCTTTGACACCATCGGAATGTGATAAATCTAAAAATCTGGCTTTATTTCTCTAGCTGTCACCATGTGTGCAGCGAACAAGTACATACAAATGCTGTTTAAGTATTTACTGCTGTAACATAGCTCTGCTGTGCCCTCTGCTGGCTCACAGGGTGCATCTCAGTCTCTCACTTCAACAACAATCAACAAGTCAAGAACAAATCAAAAAGCTGTAAATGGTTCCCAAAAGCTCTCCTTCCCTTTATAGACATCACTGTAACTCTAAATTTGTATGAATCTGCATTTATAAAAATAAGGTAATTAAAATAAAGGCATATGATCTGTTATAAATGACTATCTGTGTAATTTAGTCCCCAGCGGTGGCTACCCGTTACTATAGATCTGTTAAATGTGTTCTTACAGAGGCTAAATGTTTTTTTCAGGTTCTGCTAACATCAACGACAGAAGCATGCTGGGTAAACGCGACAGCGAGGTGGCAGTCATCATTGAGGACTCAGAAAAGGTTGCAGCGGTGATGGACGGACAGGAGTATGAAGCTGGACCCTACGCTCTTCAGCTTCGCCTCGAATGTTTCAGGTCTGTGTGAGAATGAGACAGAAGTTGTGTTTTAGAAGCACATTTATAATCTAGTGGAAACATTATTTAAAGGGTTCAATCACTTTAATAGATTTATCTTGCCATCCATATCCCCACAGCATTAATTCAGATGCCACTCTATAGTTTTAAAAGGGAAACATATAAACATTTTGGTGAAGTAAAATAAAGTGATTTTTTTTTTTTATTTTACATGTTTTTTAAATTGTATTCTTTCTGAACAGGACTATCCTTGGAGGCCACACTGACACTAGTATTGACCTGTCTGACCCCATCAGTGATCGTTTCTATAAGGAGGTGTGGATGACCACAGCTGGCCGCAACGCCACCATATATGAGAAGGTATGGAGGGATAATTCAGGTGGAAATAAAAAATAAAGTCATTAGGTGTTGCCAGATGGTGTTAAAACATTCAGACATGTACTGTAACTAACTCACAGATGTCAGATTTAAATTAAAGAAATCAAAGGTTAGTTATTTAAGAAAGGCAAATTCCTCATCTCCTCCTCTTTCTGTTAAAGACTGCAGTATGTTATATATAACATATTTGGGTTTTGCTGCAGGTATTTCGTTGCCTTCCCTCGTCCCTGGTGAGGAACATGTCAGAGCTGGAGCAGTACCAGTCCAAACCAGGTCTGGCGCAGACTGACCTAGCCCGCGCTCAGGAGGAGCTGCGCAAAATCCGAGGCTTCCTGGTCCAGTTTCCTCTCGATTTCCTGTCAGAGCAGAACCTCCTGCCCTCCGTTGGAACAAAGGAGGCCATGGTCCCAACGGAGATCTGGACATAAAGGACGTGTTACCGCTTCCAGCCACTTACACATCTGAAACTGTTTCTCGAGCATCTTGAGTGACGTATCTGGATTGTGGTTGTCGTCAAATGTGTATTATTGGATTTGCAAGAGATCGCCTTGAATCCAGAGATGAGAGGCAGTTTCCTCTGGATTAATATGACTGCTGGGCATTGACAAATCTCTAAACTCTGTTCCTACTGGAAAACAGTAGTTACGGCTTATTAGGGTAAGCATTGGTAAGTATTGGGATGTATGAAGAACAAAATGAAACCACACTTGAGGCCAAATTGATGACTGCATTGTAACTGCATTCAAGCTGTGGACTGTCTACATGAACTTTGGGTTTTGGGAATCAAACTCAGCTTCGGGCACTTAGACCTTTTGGACTGTTGGAAAAGCTCACAAGACAGCGAGGATTTTTGAGGGACCAGGGTGAGGCGGTAGTAAAGGTTTTGACAATGACGCTAACAAAAGCTCTTGAGCTTCACAAAACACACAGAGATTCTGATGCATGTGATTTATTGAGTTTGTGACGCATGCTCGTGAGGTGCGTTAGTGCTACGTATGTCAGGATCCAGGAACAAAAGCTAAGGCAACTCCATTATATTGTAGTGTGTTCAGAAGGATGAGACAATCGGCCCACAAATTGAAAGGTGTCATTTCCTCTTTGCTCAACAGATGGTGCTAGCTTCTTACAAATACAGTTTGTGTACAGTTATTACAGTGTGTGTGAATGTGATTTAAAAAAAAAAAAAAAGGTGGTCCCACTGTTGTAAATCACAAAAAACAAGTTTATTATTAATGTGGTTTTGCTCATGTTTGTGTGTGCAGTCAGCACAACTGTGAGGGAAAGATTAAGAGTACAAGTGAAATTATTTAGAAAGACACAAGGAACATAACAGAGGCTTACTTAAATCAGAACAAACAAAGGATGACATGCCCTCTTTCCTTCCTTGGAGGGATTATTATCATGAATGAGGTGTTGACACACTTAATAGAGCTCATTCATTATAATTCTCAGCACTACTCACATTTGGTTGGAACAGAAGATTCAGTACCTCGAACTGATATAAAAGATTGCACGGACATGCCTTCATATGCTTTAGGTAACTCATTGCATTTTTTGTATTTTGGAAAGTTTAGTGGTTTTATAGTGGGATTAGGGATCCAGAAACCCTCAAAAGCTTCTTCTTATCGTTATCAGAGTAAGAATATTTTCCATTAGTGTTTTAACTCTTTATCAACTGTCATTTCCTCAACCGTAATGAGGATAGGAATATAATCTTCTGTCACCTCACTTCTCCCAGTGGACGATATCAGCAGATGAACTACATCTCCTTCACTGGTCTTCTTCAAAATGCTGTTTGTGTCCAGCCTTTCAGTTTCCCCAGCTATTTCTCTCAATCTTACGGCGACGGCTTTTTTATGAAGTGCACAAAATTCCGTCTTTGAAACATTATAAACAACGACAAGTAAAAACAATATTTTCCACAGAGCACGCAACTGATGCCCAAGGCAAAGCCTTCATATGAAGAAACCTTCATATGAAAATGAAATCACTTGTTACGTTTCCAGTTTCCTGGCAGTTCCAGTTGTTTTCTTGATGGAGTTTTTAATGAGGAGTGAAAATAAAATTCTCTCTCAAAAGCATTTTGGTTTATGTAATGTAACACAGCCTGTATCTGTCAAGGAAAAATGAAACTTGTATTGGGATTGTTATAGTGTGTCCTCATGTGACCTATGAGGAAATTGTCGTAATTTGTACTGTATGTGTGAATGTACGGACTATATGTGTTTCCTGATTTGTTTTAATTTTTAACATTTGTCACAGTATCTTGTTTGAACACCAACGTCCTCTAAATGTGAAGTTAAAGAACCACTCCAATCCAGCTGTGCTCAGTGGTTTCATTGTCCTCTGTTTTCTCACGAAAAGAGCACCTAAGTCTTAATTATGCTGTTGCACAACCGACATGTGAATCACTGGCATTTATATAACAGAAGCTGACAGTAGTTGAGTTGCGTGGGAATGAAATATTGTTTTTTTGTTGGGACCAGTGAACTGATGAATGTTAACTGAAGTGATAAAGTTTGGAAACGGTATGCTCTTTGTTTTTACAAAGACTAGAAAAAAGAAAAGAAAAAATGATTTTGTCAAAATTGTCTGTATTGTTTACCCTTGCTGTATCATCATTGCATTATTTATGGATTATGAATCATTTAACATTGAAACATTCATTTTTTAAATGTATGGCATGGTTGTATGGATGAGGTTTTGGTAACTTAACCTCTGTTTCTTTGTCATAAACATCCTGCAGCCGTCTTTTATATCACCTGTCTGTATCCTTTGGCCTCAGTTTAGCTGCTCTTGCTTGCACTCTGTTTATGTACAGTATCCTCTTTTTACAGTTGAAAGTATTTCTAATTTCTGTCATTTAACAAAATGGAGCTCATAATTTAAATGGCTAACAAATAAAATTATCTTTGGAATTTTTTGTTATCCCATTGAAATGATGTTTAAAGTCAAATACATTGGTGTCATAATAATGATGTTTGATGGGAGCTGTACTTCAAGATATTATTAACAGTTTTAAAATTTGAGATTCTCGTATATCTCTATTGAAGATAAATACAAGCCAAACAAAAACGTCTCTGTCCGACTGTTGAACAATCTTTGGTTTGTTTCACAACAAAGATGTTTAACTTGTTTCTTAGCATGCAAAAGTTTTTGTTTTCAGTTTCATATATTATCAATCTTACTGTAAATAATTTAAGCTATAGTTTATGTTTTTCTAATAACACATTAACATATTATTTTGTTGTTTCAAGGAGATGTTAATTCCGGCTCCAATTTTTGTTCAGTTTGAGAAATGGTTGCAAATTGATAAGTTCATGTAAAAACTTATTTTTCTTTAGCAAATATTTGAATTCTAGTTGATGTAAGATTTTTGCAGATAATCTTTGGTTATCAGAACTCTCTTGTTCTCTTTCTCGAGTATGAGAAAACACATTTCACGCACGGGCCCACTCGTTGTTCATGTCTTTGGCAAGCAATTTTAAAAGGTGCAGTGCCAGCCACTCCAAAGGTAACCAAATCCTACTCAGAGACTTTCAGTACCTGCAGAGGAAGGAAATGATTGTGTGGACATGCAGTTCATTTGCGCCA